CTGAGAAGCTGCCAGGCATGCATTAAGTAGGGAATGCATTTCTAAAATATCCTTTGCTCTGTCTGCAGCAAAAGCCTGCGCTGCTGCCTCCCTGAAGTGGTGTCTCCCTAATGCGGTGGCATTGACATCACTGGAAAGGCTGTTCCCACCTGAGGGCTGGGCCCTGACCCCCGTTCTAGTTCCAGAGGTCTGGGATGGACCTGAGACATGCCATTCTCACAAGTTCCCCTTCGATGCTTCGATGCTTCGGTTAGGGGACCACACCTTGGGAACCACAGGGGTGCTTCACGAAGGACAGGGACCAGGCTGGGCTGGGCTCACCTCTGGGGAAGGTAGTGAGTGCCTGGACTGCACGCTGCAGCTAAGGCCCTGGGCAGGGACTGAGGCAGCTGCTGACTCATTCACTGTGGAGCATCTTTACTGAGCTGCAGTGAGCCAAGAGCCAGGTGGAGAAGAGGGTGGGTGCTCAGAGGGTGAGGCCTGGTCCTGGTCCACCTCACACTGATGACATGGTCACCACCACGGTAAACAGCAGCTGCAGCAGAGCCCCTTCTGAGCCCAAGACTGCCTCTCTTAGGGTGTGATTTCATGTCCTTGAAGTCTGTATTCATGAACCATCTACATGCATCCCCCACCTGGGGAAGCAATGATTGAACTCACTCTCCCACTCTCCCTAAATTTCCAGCAGAGGCCCAGATAGGTCATGTGGTCTATGACAGGTTTCACAGCTTAGCAGCTGCAGGACTCATTGGGAGAAGGCCCCAGAGCTTGTGGTTGCTGGAGCCAGTTGGCCTGCGTTTATTCCTGTAGCCATCTGCCCAGCAGCATGGCCGTGGGTGGGCCCCTAACTTGTTGGTCCTCACTTTCTGCATCTGTATTATGGGCCTGAGGAGAAGGAAGAGGCTGCTGCAGCAACTTGCCCTGAGCCCCATCTCAGTGGTCCGGGTTGCTCCTCTGTTGGTGCCTCTTCCTGGCAAGCCTCAGAGCAGGTGGGTGCCATCCCTGCCCCACTCAGCAGAGGAGGAGCCTGAGGGTCAGCATGAGCGATTCCACAGGGCCACACAGTGTCAGTCCCCTCCCTCAAACATGGCTCTTCTGTTAGAAGCTGAGCTTCTCGGGGCCCATGGCCTCCTTGGGGACGGTGTCCAGCCCATGCTCACGCTGAACCTGGGGCTCTGTTGTCAGACCTGGGGCGGGATCTCCCCGAGCACAAAAAGGGCAGGGCATGGCCTACAGACCCCCACAGGGACATGAGACACAGGCCCCCAAAATGTCTTGGGTGAAAATACGTAAGGAAAACAGACAAATGGAAATTGGTGAATGCTGAATTCAGAGTCTTCAGGGTGAGATATGTCAGCTGACCAGGTGCAGCTCAACGGCTTCCCCAGGCTCTCAGAGAGAGGCTGCTGAGGTACGCAGTCAGATTAGGACCCGGGTCGGGGTCACTGAGTGTGAGGAGCTGGATGGGCCGCCAAGGGGTGAGGCAGTACCTGGGAGGAGGTCACCGAGGTGCCATGCATTGCCTGGGTCAGGCTAAAATACCCCCAAGTACTGAGATGCTACCAAAAGGATCCCATATGGAGACAAGACCCTGAGGAGTGGGAGGGATGTTACCTGGGAGTCAGGGAGGGCCTCTGAGCAGGTGGCGTTTGAGCCAAGAACTCACTGATGGAAGGAGCCAGATCTGGGACTGCGAAGGGTGTTCCAGGCAGAGGGAACAAGGGCAAAGGCCTTGGAGCTTGAAGAAGTTGTTTGTGAGATGGAAAGAAGGCCAGCCTCCTGGGGCAGAGGGAGAGAAGGGCTGAGCACTGGGAGGTGAGCCCAGAGGGGTGGCCGGAGTGTGCAGGGCCTGAAGGCCATGTCAGTGACTGTTCTATGCATGCGGGAGGGAGAGCAGACAGGACCACTGACTCTTCAGAAGCCTGAGGGAGCAGAGGTGTTGGAGCTGTCAGAGAGGAAGACTGGAGAGGGCGCTGCAGCTGGAGAATAAGGTGTGGGCCTGGCGTGAACGTGGAGGGCAGAGGGCTCGGGGCCGGCCTCGGGGGCAGCCAGGTGCATTGGGCCTTTCTAGATCTCCCTGGGTACCAAGAGTTTGGGGTTTTGCAGGCAATCCTTTCCAGGACTTTGTAGCAACCAAGTGCTGCCCTCTACTAGGATATCTGAGTATTACACCCAGTGACTTTGGGCTGGACCAACCCCAGAACTTCCCTGAGAACTTCATGGAAACATCCTTGGGATCCAGGGTCCTCAGGGATGGCAGGCACTCCCGAGGTCTTCTTCTCCTGCCACCGCTAGATCCTTGCTTGCTTACCCCTAGGGACAGAGAGCTCACTCCCTTTTGAGGCAGTCTGCATGGCGCAGATCAATTTGACCCCAGAAGGAGTTGCCCGTGGCTTCCTCCTGGTTTCAGCCCTGTCCTCTGGGTCTCAGGACTGCCTGCAAGGCCTGGGGGCACTGACCTCCCCCACACCCCAGCTGCCCTGCTCCAGGCTAGGCTGCTCCAGCTCCTGCAGGCCCTCTCCAGTCTGACACACCCAAACTGCCTTATGCCAGTCCATCTTCCATACTAGAGCCCTGGACCAAAGAGAGGACCTGTCAGGAGATCTAAATGGCCTAGGCCCCCACAGAGGATGTGACTTTCTCAGGAAAATACCTGCAGACTTCCCAAATGTGCCTGTGTCACTGTTTCTATGTTGGAGCCACAGGCGTCTCTTGGTTTCCCTGAATCCAAAGGGAGGTTGACAGTGGGTCTGGTCATGGGGAATGGCCAGGTATGGACAGAAAGGCAAGCGGCTGAGTCAGAGAGGCCAGCTGGGGCAAGGCTGCAGCACAGGGACTGGGGCTTCTCTGAAGCATCATGGGCCCATCCCATGCTGGGATTCCAGGACGTTCCATGGTCCCCGCCCCTGCTTCTGTAGTAGCCACAAAGGAGGGTCTTGTCAAGGAGGCCAAGAGGAAGAGAGAGAAGAGGAGGGAGGCTGGCAGGCTTGGTGGCAGAGGAGGAGGGTGAATTATTCAAGTAAAAAGCCAGCGACTTTATTTGTCAAGTAAGGAGATTCAGTCATTCACTCATTAAATAGTTTTTGAGTACCTACTATGTGCCACACACAGTCCTGAGCCTTGAGGCTGTAGCAGTGAATAAAGCAGACAGAATCCCCAGTAACACAATTCACAATGCACATCAGGAAGCGTTGTGCAGTTCTGATGCCATCCACCTCTGTCATCCAGCTGCCTCAGCTCTACTCCTGCTCCATATGAGGACATGCAGCCAGAAGAACTGGGTTCCAATCCTACCACTCATTGCTGTGCAATTTCAGACAAGTCACTTGCCCTCTCTGAGTTCTATTTCCTCCACTGTAAAGGAAGGAACAAAACTCAAGGATGCAGCATCCTTTCTTCCTCTAAATTCAGTGGGTCTGAGAGTCCAGAGAGAGTGGGAAGAAGGGGAGAATGGCCCTCTGAGCTGCCAACCAGGGGCCAGGGCCTTCATACCCATTCTCTCATGTCATCTTCCCAGTGAGGAAGTTTTGCAAGTGCTTAAGAGCCAAGAGCCAAGACTCTGGATCCAGACTGCCCTGACATACCACCCACCAGCTCTGTGACCCTGGGCCAGATGCTGAACCTCTGGCTTTAGTTTCCTCCTGTGTAAAATAGGATGATAATATTACATCTCACTGAGATTGTCATGAGGATTATAATGAATGTAAAAATTATATATATATATACACACACATATATGAAATAGGTTTGGAATTCCTGATTTACAGATAAGGAAACAGACTCTGATCAGTTAAGCATCAGATAAGCAGAGAGATCTGTGTATGAAAGAAAAGTGAATCTGAGAGGAGAGGATGGATACGAACCCTGTCACCTTCACCTCCCTGTGGCTCGCTCACGCCAGCCACACTGGTCTCCTCAGCGTTGCTCTAACACACTCAGCTTATTTCTGCCTCTGGGCCTTGACACGGGTCTTCACTCAGCTTATTTCTGCCTCTGGGCCTTGACACGGGTCTTCACTCAGCCTATTTCTGCCTCTGGGCCTTGACACGGGTCTTCACTCAGCTTATTTCTGCCTCTGGGCCTTGACACGGGTCTTCACTCTGCCTGGAATGCTCTTCCCCGAGCTCTTCCATTATTCAGGTCTCAGCCCACATGCGCCCTCTTAGAAAAGCCTTTCCTTACCACTCCATCTGATGAGATGGCTGCTCTCCCTCTGCCCCTCCCCCTCCTTTCTCCCTTCTGCTTTATTTTTATCCCAATCCTTATTACCAGGAAAAATATATATGACTACGTGTCGGTTTCCTATTTCCCCCTTAGAATGTAAACACTATGAGGGTGGATACTTTGCCTTATGTACCACTGTGTTGCCAGTTCAAAAGCAGTGCTGGGCATGTGGATGATGCTCCTCCGTGTTTGTTTAATGAATGGGTGAGTGCGTGGGTTAATGAATGAATGGGTACCACAGCTAGACCAGAAATTCTCCCTAGCCCCAGGACACGGTCAGCACAAATGGTAACAGCTATGCACCTGTGCAGCTTCTGTGTGTGGTGGGCCCTCCTGGAACCCTGTGACGTAGCTGTTATGATCCCATTTTACAGTAGCATAAATCAAGGCTTCCAGAAGATAAGCGGCTTGCCCAAGGGCTCATGGCCCTTAGGAGGCAGAGCCAGACTTGGAATCGGTTGGCCTGACTTCAGAGCGCCAGCCCAGTGCACTCCGTGGCTCGCACGTAAACGTGCCAAAGACAGACAGAAGTCACCCTGGAAAGCAGCGTCATCACAGGCTCTGGGGCAGTGCGTGCGTTTCAGCAACAGATTTCCAGGTTTCTAGTGCAGGGCAGGAAGGCGCCCGCGCCAGCGCTCTTGGTCTGGTGGGTGACTGCAGCAAGGGCGCTGCGGTGCGGCGCCGCCTGATGCTGCAGTTGTCATGGCGACGAGCGCCTCGGCGATTGGTCCCGCGCGGCCTCACTGTGTTGCTCCTTGGGCGCTGGGGCAAGGCTCCCGCGCGCCCGCCCCTTCTCTGGATGCTGCCAGAGCAAACCGGGCGCAGACTTCCCTCAGCCCTCCCCTCTCTCTCCCCGCACCCCGCCAACCCGGATGTGTGGGAGGGCAAAAGTCCAAGGTGGTCCCACGTAGCGGAGAGGCCGATGCCCCTTCCCAACCTGGCGACCATGGTGACTCCACGTCCTGCCAGGCACAGTGTGAGTGCTGCGTGCCAGGGGCCCCCTCGGAGCCCGCTGCTGCCATCCCCCTGCTCCCATCCCAGTCTCCGTGGAGGAGCCCTTCACCCCCAAGAATTTGACTCGCCCCTTGATTTGATTTTATTCCCTTCCACTTCTTGCCTGAGCATCTTCTATTGCCCCTAACCACACTTAGCCTTCCCAGCTGGAGAAGGAGAGAAAGAGAAGAGGAAAACTGCCCCCAGACAGGATGGCTTGCAGAAGACGCTATTTGTGAGTATATGTGGCAGGTTTATGCCTGAAACTCGAGGCCGAGGCCAGAGGGGGCCCAGCTGAGCTTGGAGCCCAAGTGAGGATTCGGTGGACAGAGATGCCAGCATTTGTCCCCTGCAGCAGAGGTGTTTGTTGGTGGTGACCATGAGAAAAAAGGCTGTTAGTCAGCAGGTCTCCATCGGGCTGTGAAATTCCCTATCTCTGAGGGCAGGTTCCCCCAAATCCATATACAGGGTCCCCAGACCCACTGCTGCCATTTTGGCATTTGGTGTAGCCCTCAGCATGTCTACTCGGAAGAAGCTTCTCATGCCCAGCTCATCTATGACCGGCACTTCAGCCATACCTGATGGAGGGTTGCCAGGAAGGTTGAGGTGCGGACAGGATGCTGTGTCCTTCATGGACAGGTAAAGGTCCAGCCTGCTATCATGAGAAGGTGGCATCAGTGTCCTCCTGTGCCATCCAGGTGTTCTGTGGGCCAGCAGCAGAGCACCTGTCTGCTGGGCCTGACACCAGCATCAGAAGCTGTTAAAGTCTGCCCGGAGCAGTGACATCAAGGGTCTGGGTATTTATGGAAACTGAAAGCCATGCCTCCTTAAGCCAGGCTTCCCAGGGCATCAGATGAGAATGCCAGCTTCCCTCGCAGCTCTCTGGGGCTCTGCGGTGTGCTGTTCTGGGGTGAGCAACCTTTGGTCTCTGGCCTCGCGGGACCCCTCCTCTGGGACCTGGGGCCACAGTGATTGAGACACAGCCACATATCTCCACTTGCCCTGGGCAACTTGCCCAGTGCCTGGGCTGTCTGGGGTTGTTCAGTGACATCAGACTCTGTAGGTCAGAGAGCAGAGCTGGACCCTCTTGGGCTGGGCTCAGTCCCCTGGACTAGAAAGGGGAAGCCTGGAGCATTACATAGGGGACGTCAAGGGGGGCCACTCCAGGGCCTCACAACCCCCTATACCATGACAAGGGCCTGTGGAGCCCGTAGCTCAGCAGCACCCACTCTCCTCCATCTATGGACAGCTCTCTTGATAATGGGCCAGACGGGAGCCCCGCAGGTGAGAGAGGAGGCCTGTGTCTGTGGTTTGCTGTGACGTTCATTTGCTTTTTTAGGGGAAAAGCCCACAGGTTGCTTTGTTGATGTGAGTAGAACATGCCAGCTTCTCACTCCCTGTGACAAGGCCTCAGCTATATTTTTGGAAACAAATAGTATATCCTTTCGCACCACGAACTTCCACCACCATCCCTGGAATAGGTCCTCCGGAGGCAGCTGCCCCTTCCTGCCACACCTTTGCCCGGGCCCAGGAGCCTGATGTAGAGAAAGTCTCAACTCTCAGGGCTATTAAACACCGGGGAAAGGGAAGATGTCGTTAGGGTGGAATGTGACATCTGCGTTGCACACTCAGCCGAGAGCCTTGCCTCAGATGTTCAGTGATGGAATCCTTACAGCAGCCTTGGCTGGACAGGCACTAAGACCCTCATTTTAGAGATGGGGAAACTGAGGCTCAGCATAGTTCCCTCTGGAAACTTGGAGTGTACTAGCCTAGGGGTGGGAGTTTTAGCCCAGGCTCCACACTAGACTCACGTGAGGAGAGTTTTTAAAATACCCATGCCTGAGTCCCCCATACCCTGAGAGATTCTGGTTTACAGGTCTGAGGAGGCCTCAAGCACCAGGATCTTTTTAGTTCTCCATATGATTTTAATGGACAGCTTTGGTCAATGTTCATGGATGCAGCTGCTTCCCAGGGCAGCGCCTCCCAAGCCTACAGGATCACGATGTTGCCAGGGACACAATTACTTACCGTAGATTCCATTACCCCTCCCAATACCAATACAGACTCATCCAGGCTGCCAGGGGCCCAGGAACCCACCTTTTAACACATGGCCCCTGGCAGCTTTGCTGACAAGTGGACTAAGACTGTCTTAGCCACTCGCCTGGGAGAGGGGCTGGACCAGGGGGAGGGCACACCTGTCCAGGGGCTCCACACTCCCTGCCTCCCAATCCTGCGGTCTTTTCATGCTTCTCCAGCTTTCAGGCGCCCACAGTCTGGCACTGTGACATCTGTGACATCTTTGCACATGCTGCCACCAAACCTGTGGGCACCAGAGATTGCAAACAGACCAGGGAGTTGGTGGCTGGAGAGGAGCAATTGCCCGTGTTTTTAAAGAAGGATTTTGAGACCCAGAGCAGGCTGTGCTTGAGGTTACTCAGTGGACCCTTGGTAAGCATGTGTTGGCTCCCCATTCCCCCTCACCCAGAACTGGGGCTCTCCCAGCACCTGCTGCTCAATCCTCGTTGTTACCAGGGCTTCCAGCATGAAGAAGGATGGGGAGTTGAGTATCCACATGTTTAACTCTCAGGGCAGCTTGAGACACAGTAGCATTGTCACCAATGTCAGAGGCTTCTCCTGCCAATTGCCTCACTGATTATCACAAACTGCTGTAAAATGAGGTGTTATTGATCCCATTTTACAAAGGAGAAAACTGAGGCTCAGAGAGGGGTGGGACTTGCCTGGCATCACATGGCTTTTCCTCCTGCACACTTGGTAATAGTATCCCTCCACCAACATGCCACATGCCAGACCAGGACAGGCTTGCTCCAGTGGCCCTGCACATGGCCAGCCATGGGGTCCTGCGGTCTGGAGGAGCCCTGCCGGGGGGCCTCTCCACTCCATCCCCCCTCCCTGTCCTCCATTTTCTTCCCCTCTGCCTCTTGGCCCCCAAGAGAGCCTTGTGAAATCTAGACACTGTTGTCGAGAGGCGGGCAGGTCTCCCCGTGGGAGCTCAGTCCCTTACAGAGGTGGCACAGGGAGGGGATAAAGGACGACGATGAAAGTGGAGAAGATTTATTAATGTACGAGGGGGAAATCATGAGCCTTCCACAAATCCGTTACTTAATGAAACTTGCTAACAACCGAGGTCATTACTGTACTGGCAGCTTAATTAATGGTGTCTTCATTATGGCCAGCCCCCTTCCAACTGTAGCTACACTTGGCATGGTAACGGTGTCTTCCTGGGTACATCACATTCTACTACTTGAAAACGGAAAGTTGGGCTATAGGGAGTTTGCAGTGAGTGTATGAGACCTGGAGCTGCTCAGAGGAGCTGATGCGGGATGGTCTGTTGCCTCCCTCGCACACCTGCTCATTCATTCATCATTCACTCACTCACTCTGGTCACTGTGGGCACTCATTCATTCACTCAACTCACAGTGGTTATTAGGCACATAGTCTGTGTGCTAGGCTGAGTGGGGCTATCCTTGTAAATGGGCCCGGCCAGGCCCTGCCTGCATGGAGCTTTCAGTCTAGATGAAGGACACACAATAAATAAGGCCACAGAGGCCCTCTGTGCACCATCCTGCACAGTCCTGGCAAGAGAGCTCACACTGCCACACTTTTGCCCATGCTGGTTCCTCTGCCCTTTCTCCCCCTCACCTCAGACCTCAAGACCCAACTCATGCCTCTTTTGACTCTCCCAGGCAAGTTGGTCCCTTCACTGAGCTCCCCCATCACTGGTCCTCCCCTTTCACAATGCAGGCTCCTCTGGTGTCACCAACTATCCACATCTCTCTCCCCCACCAGCCTGGGAACCTCCAGGCAGGGCCCTGCCTTTGTTTCCTGGCAGCCCTTCAGGCTCTGGCGTGGCAAGGCACCAATCACCTTTTTCTAAAACTTGTGGTAAAATGCATATAACATAAAATTTAGCATTTTAACCTTTTTTTTTTCTAAGGAAGATTCGCTCTGAGCTAACATCCATTGCCAATCTTCCTCTTTTTGTATGTGAGCCACTGTCACAGCATGGCCACTGACAGAAGAGTGGTGTGGGTCTACACCTGGGAACCAAACTTGGGCAGTAGAAGTGGAGCACACGGAACTTAACTAGTAGGCTACTGGGGCTGGCTCCATTTTAACCATTTTTAAGTGTCTAGCTCAGTGGCATTAAGCACATTCACATTGTTGTGCAACCATCACCATCATCCATTTCCAGAACTTTTTCATCTTCCCAAACTGAAACTCTATTCCCATTAAACACTAAGTCCCCAATCCCCCTCGCTCAGCCCCTGGCAACCACCATTCTACACTCTATCTCTATGAATCTGACTACTCTAGGGACCTCATATGAGTGGAATCATAACAGTATTTGTCCTTTTATGAGTGGTTTATTTCACTTGGCATAATGTCCTCAAGGTCCATCCATGGTGTAGCATGTGTCAGAATTTCCTTCCTTTTTAAAGCTAAATAATATTCCGTTGTATAGAGATGCCACATTTTGCTTATCCATTCATCTTTCAGTGGACACTTGGGTTGCTTCCCCTTTGGGCTATTGTGAATAATGCTGCTGTGAACATGAGTGTGCTATGAACATGAGTATCTTTTCAGGTCCCTGATTTCAATTCTTTTGGATAAATTCTCAGAAGTGGAATTGCTGGATCATATGTTAATTCTATGTTTAACTTTTTGAGGAACCTTCATACTGTTTTCCACAGTAGCTGAACCATTTTATGCTCCCGCTGGCAGTGCACAAATGTTCCAATTTCTCCACATCCTTGCCAACACATGCTATTTTGTTTTTTTGGTTTTTTAATAATAGCCATCCTCATGGTGTGAAGTGGCATCTCATTGTGGTTTTGATTTACCCTTTCTTGAATAAAAGCAGGCGTGAGTGATAAAGCTCAGCCTCCTCCTCTCCTGATGGACCACACAGCCCCAAGGACCCCCCGCATCAACCTGGGAGGGCTGGATCTGGCTGGGCACCCACTGATACCTCCACTGTCTTTGTCAGAATTTCTGTCCCAGGGCAGGGGTCAGGGGGAACAGGGAGCTCTGGGCTCCCCACCCAGAACCCAGTGCTCCAGGACATAAGTAGCCTAGGGGGCTGGGTCCTTGGGGGTGCCTGGAATGCAGTAGGTTCTCAAAAAATTTTAATCACAGGAGTAATACCTGCTTTCATCCTTTTTTGTTGTTCTTTATTTATTCATATAATTGAGAAATAATTCATCAACATGTCTG